ATCTGAAGCCCCTTAGTGTGCCAGTTAATTCTGGTTGGGCTAGTCTGCCCGTTCCTAATTGCTGTGGAATTCTGCATGACTTCCTATTGCTGTTTCCTTTTTTTTTTTTTTTTTTCCTTTGGTTCTTGGTGCTGTGATTTCGTTAGTTTGTGGGGTGGGGTTGTAATTCTGCTATGGTAAGTTGATTCAGTCCACAACTGCCTGGGTCTTGCTGTTGTCGGTGTCGGAGTCCCTGCTGTCCTCGCTTGCTGCTGAGGAGCTCAGGCCGTACTCCCCAACGCTGCTCTCCGACTTAGATGGAGGCTCATTGTTGTCTCCCCCTGGGGAGATCTTGTTGTCCTCTTCCCTCTCTACGTCGTCCTTGTCCTCCATGTCAGAATCTTCCCTTCCCATGTCCACATTGATGGGAGTTGCCTCGTCCTGCAGCGAGGTCTTGGAGGTCAATAGTCGGGTCCTGATGATGTCTGCCAGCGAATCTGCAATGATGTCGGTCGTGCTGAACCTCCCGTTCAGCACGTTGTACGGCAGCATTGTGATTGTGTCCCATGCCCTCCAGGTCAGGCCTTCGCTGAGTTTTGCCCTCTCGTCGAGCTTGACCAGGATGGGGTCGAAGGGGGTGAAGATTGGTTCTTCCAGCGTCTTCCCTTCGGCTGTCTGTTCGCGTGGTGGGACCTCGTACACCCCCATCGGAGTCTCCGTTGAGATGTTGTCCCTGATGCTCTTGACCAGGGCTTTGTCGTCGTCGAGGGTTGGGATTGTGAATGTTGCGTCTGTGGCCACCTGCCACTCATTGAATTTGCTCCTATACCGCACTGGAAGCAACGGTCTTATTGCCTTGATGGATCCCCTATCAGTAATCGCTGCTTTGGGCACGTTGGGCGCCTTGTTCTCTGCGATCATGCGGACTGTGACAAACTTCTCGCCTTGCTCCCTTTTGTAGTCCTGGTTCTGGTCGAACAGTCTCTTCGTCTGAGCTGCGACTGTTGCAATCTCCTGCGTGAGTCTGCGCTGTTCGTTCTTGCTGCCAGCTTCGTCTTTGGGGGGCCCCCTTGGTCTCTTGTCCCTTCCCTTCGATGGTTTCCAGTTTTTGGAAACCATGTCGCGGATCGAGTCCGCTGATGTCTGGGGGTCGAACCCTGAGCCACTTTCTGCTCCAACAGATTCTCTTTCCCTCTTTTTTTCGAAATACCTGAATGCGCTGAATTCCGAGAGTTCGGAGTTCATGCGCAGCAGGTCAAAAAAGTTCTTGGACTACGGAATTCCGGCCACTGTTTTTCCGGTGGCTGGCTTCCCTGACTTTTCCAAGTGTTTCATGCATGCCAGCCTGATGTCGAACTCTTTTTCCCTCTCATATTTTGCTTTCTGCAGGTATTGTTCGAGCCAGGGAATGAGGCTCGCGTTGTTTTGTGAAGTGTCTGTAGCTGAGATGTCCATTCCTGTTCTGGTTTCTGCAGGTAAGATCGGGTCTGTTCCGGGTGGGACATCATCCATGGGGGAGTGCTCAGGTCTGAGCATCTTACCTGTGCTCCCCTCTGTTGCCCTCCTCTTCTTTCCTGCCCTGTCCTCATGACAGATCTTGGCGGAGGGAGAGGCGTTCCGCTTGAGTGCATGGGGAGCTCTGGTTTGGGTTGGCGGTGTTTTGCTTCCTGCAGCAGGGTGTTGTTATCAAGGTTAGTGTTCTGGCACGTTTCTGCTGTCTTTGTCCTGATTGTCTCCATGTCCCACAACAGATCTTCGTGTTTCTTCTCTTCCTTGATCGCCCGTGGGTCGATGATCTGATCCTTGTGAATTTTGCCTGGGATACCTGTTACTTTCTTTGCTCCCATTGCGTGCCATCTGCTATCTGAGGGCGGGAAAATGTCTGGCTGTTTCGTTGACGGGTTCGTGTTGTAAGTCCAGATCCATTTCGGATCGTCGATGGTGTCGTCGAAGACCCATCCGTTGTAATCCTGGTCGTTGACGAACCATATCCCCTTTGCCTCTTCGACTTCCACCAGCATGTTTTGTCTTAGCTTTTTCTCTTTGGAGTGTTCGGGGGATCTGGGGCACGCTGGGTCAGTGCCCAAGTGCCCTCTCTCTCTGCACCTGAAGCAGATGGGGGCATCTTTCGTTGAGACTGTGACCGAGGATGCCTCCTCCCCTATGCAGAATTCCCATTCTTCCGGGAATTCAGGATTCGAATCCGTGTTTACTTCCAAAACAGTTGTCATAGAGTCACAGTGTGGGGCCAGAAACTCCGGGGTTGGAAGTACCCATTTCAACACTTTGTTGTTTGGGTACTCCACTTCCAATCTGTCCTTGATCAGTGGATGCCCTCTGATTGGGATGTTATCAAACTGGACCCATAATTGATCCCTCATGAGTCGCTGTTTTTGCGCTGTTGCTGGGGAGATCATTGCTTTCTGTGCTGTCTCTTGTTTCCAGCGGGACAGTGAGCACACTGATCCATTGCAGTTCAGTGTGGTGAGTCTGTTGATCATATTTGATGCTTGGTCGACGTCTTTGAATACCACCATCATCATGTTTTTGCTGAGTACCAGGATGGAGAATTTGTCAGTGCTGGATCTGAGATTTTCGTGCCCCTGCACAGTTCTCGTGATCCATTTGCGTTTCTCGATTTCTGGGAGGCGAGCCCCTGTGTTGGAAAAAGTGAAGACTAGACCGTGTTTCGCGTACATAGCGTTGGTGGTTTCGATTTTCTCCTTGGGATAGCACCAGACTTTGATTTCCCTTTCCTCTCCGTCCTGCTGAATCTTCTTTATAACTTTTTCCCCTTTGATTTGCGGCAATTCCAGTAGGAAACGGAGGGTTTCGTGGTCGACCAGTGCTCCATTTGTTTGTTGGTTTTTGTCTGCATTTCTTGTGTTGGTTGCCACCACTGAAGAAAAGCGGCGTTGGAATTTGACTGGGGCTGCAGATGCCATCTTGGACTGGGTGGGGTGGAGATGGCTGTGATCTCCTCCGTTGGCCGAGCCTTCGATCGCCTGGCTATTGCAGCAGTCACTACAGTAGCGATGCAAATACAGCAATTGAAGGTGACGAGATCCGAGCTAGAGAGTTAAACACACCCGACTGGTGTTGAAGTCTGGGAAGTGTTTTTGCTTGCAATATTTCTTTGTCTTTTGTTCTTTTTCGTCTTTTTAATTTGGGGGGGGGGGGGTTGGCAATGAGATTCCCTTTTTACCTTTTTTCCTTCTTTTTGGTATTTGGGTTTGGGTGGGGTGGAGACGGCTGCGCTACCCTCCGCTGGACGAGCTCTCGATCGCCTGGCTATAACAGCAAACACAAYGGTAGCAATGCAATTACACGATTTGACGTTGAYGAGATTCGAGCTAGTAAAGTACAAACATGCGCCTGGTGTTGAAATCTGGGGCGTGCTTTGCTTCCAATATCTCTTTTTTCTTTTTTCTTGTTCGTCTTTTTGATTTGGGGGGGTTGGGCAATGAGATTTCCTTTTTTTCCTTTTTCCTTCTTTTTCTGGTTTTTAGATTGCTGTTTTGGTGTTGTCGTTCTGGCTTTCTTTGCTCTAATTTGCTTACGTGGTAGGCCTACGTGTCGAAAATGTGAAAGAACGAAAGAGTTGAAAAGATAATAGTTGAGGTTGTCTGTTTGCGTTGGTAGCAGGACGGGATTTTGGTTCCGGGATTTTTCGAGACCGGGATGGTGGTAATTCCCTCCCGGTCTTGTCGAAATGTGAATCACGAGAGCGTCAATCCTTTCTCATTGGGTCCGAAATGTTTTGAACTCACTGAAGTGCAAACTTCCCTTATCTGGTTCTCTATTTTTTAATGTGTCTTAGTTACTCGGATTGAGAGTGTGCCGTGTTACTGACCCCCCGTAGCCTGTAGGGATCACGGCAGCAGCGGGAGGCGGCTGCATGTACGTGGTCTACGTGGGCTGGTCGGGGCTAAGCCTGGTCAGGATTGGGCGGCGTGAGGGGGTAGGGTG